CCCAGCGAGAAAGAACCAACTTAAAAAAAAAAAAAAAAAAAAAAAAAAAAAAAAAAAAAAGAAGAAGAAAACAGATGCCTTCTAAAATTTGAGCAGACTTCTCTGATAGGATTCTTCACACACCAGGATAAATCATAGCATCTGTCTATTCCTGATAAATTCTCAGACTTTAACTTTCATATTATAATAGGATCACCTTTGTAAAAAATGAACAATACTTGTGGTTTTTAAAATATTACCTGGAAATTGACATGTCAAAAAAGATAGATCCTCAAATTACTGCTGCTTTAAGGAACCAGATTAATAAAAGTGACCTTCATTCTAAGAAAATCCAGTGCCAACCAAAAATCAGCCAGCAGTATAATTTGATTAGAAGATTACTTGAACTACAGAGGGGTTTTTTTTTTCTTTAAAAATTTCATGTCAGAGGCTGAGGGTACAACTCAGTGGTGTAACACTTGTCTAGCATGTACAAGGCTGGGATCAAGCCCTAGCACCAGAAGTATTTCATTAGACAAATTCCCTAATATGCATACAATTTTGAGACATAAATTTTATTTGCATAAAGCTCTAATCACACATATCTTTGGAACACATATGAAGAAATGTGATAAGCAACTGCCCTGTTAGTTCTGTTTCCTGTTTCAGGTCACCTGGATATATGGGAAAGCTGCTTTACTACTGGAGAGTATAATGGGCTGTCAGAGAACAAACCACTCTACTTTCTTAATTTTCACATTCATGTTAAACAAGACATAAGCACCATTGTTTGGGCTCATTTCAGGGGGCAATGTCTCCTTGTCTGCTCTCTTTTTGTGAAGACAATGACACGGCTAAAGTTACAGAATAGAATGTGAGAATGTAAAGTAATGCTTTCAAATCTCAGTTATCCTGTTCAGAAAGATGAATAAACAACAGAAAGGTAAAATCATCCAAGAGCTAAAATGAAAACAAGAATTGATGGGGATTTAACATTTTTTCGCTAAAATGAAAATGGGTATTAAATCTTCTTAATATAAACAAAATGGGCTGGTGGCATAACTGAGTGGTTGAGCACTTGCCTAGCATGCCTGAGTCCCTCGACAGCAAAAATTTGAACAGAAATGTAGGCAAAAAAGGTCTCAGTATGACCCCACGCAGGCCCCAGAAGGAGAGCTTATAAACATGATATTGTGCAGGTATCCTATGCGCTTTGTGGGTAGAATGGATCAGGACACTGAGGAAGCATACCCTCTCACTGTCCAACCTTCTTTTTGGTCCAGCTTGTTGACCAAATTGCAGCCATCTGAGCACAGACATGGCAGTGGGCTCCAGGATGGACCTGGTGTGAGCTGATCCATCAGGTGACAAATACCTTCAGGCTACAGTGTGCTGAGCAAGACATTTTGGTCTTATTTTGTGCCTTCAGTCTTCATCATGGCCTTAAATGCTATTTGTGTTGCTTCTCATTTCCACTGGCAGGGAGCCAAACCTCTTGGTTGGGAGAAATCTGGGAAACATCAATGTACTTGGCTGTGGACCCAACACCTGTGCTCCCTTGGGAAGGTCTGTCAGGTCTCCTCCCAAAGATGAATTCCCATGCTGTTCTGTGGGGCAAGAGAGGTGTTCTTTGGCAGGATGATGTGGTTTATCTCAAGAGCCACCAGGTGTCTCTCTGACCAAAACAACCTCCCAGTCAGCAGCCAAAACCCAAATTCTTTATCATTTTTTAACACGTGAAAATTGAAATAAATATCATTGTAATCACAACACAGTGACAAAGAAGAGTGTGAGGCTAGAGTTTATCCGTGGCACCTGGGTGCCTCTGAGCTACAACACATTTAATATCTGGGCTGGTAGCCAGAGTTTTGGAGCCGCCTTATACTTGTGTTCAGCTTTACAGAGTATATACTGGGATCATTCAACAGAAAAGCTCCGTATTTCTCTGTCATCATGTACATTTCTTATTAGACATTCTTGCAAATTTGGGTACTGTTTTTTTTACTTTAACATTTTAAAAACGTATGTATAAAACCATTTTGAAATTTTTTGGTGCCTCCAGTCTCCCAAGTTCTAAAACTCCTGTGTTTGCCTTGGGTCCATAGGATCTCACCCCAAACCTCTGGGCAAAAGCAATGTCAATTGCAAACCTGGTACCTTGGGGGCCTGCAGAGACAATCACCCAGGCCTCTGGGGCCACTTCTCATGACCCCTCTTTTCCCATATGTTCAGTGGGGGGACAGTATCTAGGAAACTCCCACCAAGTACAGGATAGCCAGTGGTGCCAGGTAATCTCAACAGACCTCAGATGTGTTGCTCTGCACCCCTTCAGATCATTCTTCCTCATTGCAATTGAAAAAATGTGATCTGGCAACTTTGCTGCTCTGTAGAAATGGGGACAGTGATCATAGCTCTTCTCACAGGGCTATTGTGTGGGTGATGAGGTCATTTGGTTAAATGACTTGGAACAGTGCCTGCCACATCCTGAGATCTGAACACAAGCCAGCTGCTGTGTCATTAGCAATGAGGTCTATTTTCCGGGTAAGAAAGTCTGCTCCCCCTGCCCCAGGAATAAACCCAGGGCCTTACACATACTAGACCCTATCACTCAGCTCTACCCCAAGCCCCGTTTCTCCTAAGACACTGGGCTCTTAATAGATGTTTGCTTCAATTGGATCAGCCTCAGAAAAACAAATGCTAGAGAAAAGGTACTTTAACAAAAGGGGCTGGGAAGGCCGATTATCCATGTGCAGGATTTCTCTAGACACACATCTCTCACCCTATATTAAAAATCAAATCAAAATGGGTCAAAGTCAAGGAACCTGAAGATGAAAACTCCTCACCAGTTTTGCATTTTTTTAATTTGACTACTCATTTAAATGGGATAAATGAGTCATGAAGGTGAAAATCTATTTGTGCTATATTTCAATACAATATACAACACCATGTATGATACAGTGTACAAAATGGAGAGGGTAATGGGGAAAAAGGGTGGGATGTACCATGTACAGGTGCAAATTCCCAATGATGAGTGTTATCATTACGTTTGCCTAAAATGTACCAATAAATGTTTTGCTATTTTAAAAAATGGGTCAAAGGCCTATATATGGAAACAAACACTGAATCTGCTGGAAGATAAAGTAGGTAAAACTCTTGAAGCCATATGTATAGGCAAGGACTTTTTGAATAGAACTCCAGTTGCACAAGAAATAATACCAAGAATCAACAAAAAGGATTATATCAAAAAGTTTCAAAAAATTCTTCTGAACACCAAGAAAAAAAATCAACAGAGTGAGGAGACAGCCTACCGAATGGGGAGGGTGTGGATTGCCAGCTACTTCTCAGAGGGCCAATATCTAGAACATACAAACAACTAAAAAATATTAGACCCCAAAAAACAAAAATCTCAAACAAATAAATAAACATTTCTCAAAAGAAGCACGAATGGCCAATAAGTACTTGGAAAAATATTCAGCATCTGTGGCTGATCCACAGATGTGGCAAATCCAAACAACACCGAGATTTCATCGTACTTCAGGAAGGACAGCTATCATCAAGGACTCAAAAACAACAAATGCTCAATTGTAGGGAAAAAGAAACCCTTCTAAATTGTGGGGAATATAAGCTAGTACCACAACTGGAAATCAGCATAGAGATTCTGAAAAACCTAAAAAAAAGAAATTCCATTTGACCCAGCTATTTCCCTCATTATTGAAAGAGTTTAAGTCAGGTTACAGCGATAGCATGTACACCCATGACTGTAGCAGCACATTCACAATATCTAAATTATGGAAGTTAGCCTATATGCCCATCAACAGATGAATGAATAAAGACTGTGATGATATACACCCAAAGGACTAATATTAAGCCAAAAAGAAGGATAAATTTGAGTTATTTGTAGAAAAATGGATGAATCTTGAGAACACAGTGATAAATGGATTAAATCAGACTGAGAAGGTTAAATCAATCAGACATAGAAAGTTAAATGTCACTTGGTTTCTCTTTTATGAAAAAAAATAAAGATCAAGACAAAAGAGAGGGTAGGAAACAAGGAGGTAGACTTTTTAAACATGGAAAGGGGATCTGGAATAGAACAATGGGGAGAGAAAGGAAGTAAAAAGGATCAACATGCAATATGTATATCAATTCTCCAAAATGGATACTATGTCAAATGTATACTAATAAAAATATTTTTTTAAAGAATCAAGTGTGGACTGCTCAGTGTGTGACCATTCTCATAGCACACCACCTGATCAAGAAAGGTCCTTCCCGAAGGAGGCCATATAATGTAGAGATTAAAAGCATCAGCCTTGGAGCAAGGCAGAACTGAGTTCAAAACCTACTTCAACCCTTTCAGGAAACACTGGCCCTTTCTGTGATTCTAAGTCAGTGTAACATGGATTAACTCCTATTTCACTGACTTGTGAAAGTTAAGTGGGATTATGTTTGTAAAATGCCTAGCTGCATGCCTGGGACATGGTAGACACTCCTGAAATCCAGTCATTGTTAGAATGACAAGGATGTCGTGCCTCCAAGGAAGACTGCAAGATGAAGATGCTTAGACCTGGAATGTCTTGGGGTGAAATGTAGGATCTGAGAAAATATTTATTGATTTAATATTGCAGAATGGGTATAAAAGATAGAGGGAACACAAGATCCCTCAAGGGGAAAGTGACATTTTTTTAACGTGACATCTAGATTTTGGAGGTGGGATCTTGTCTTAGTCAACCCACCTCTGTTATATTTAGCAACTTGATCATTTTTGCTAACCTTTTTTGATGTCTTTCCCTTCCTCCAGGATAGAATTATATCTGTCCTTTGGGTACAGTTTTCTAAAGAATGTACTAATTTTTTATTAAAATAGAACGATCTTGTTCTGCTATTTTTGCTGACCCAGCTTTAGGGGCTAAATATAATCTCCAGCACAGTGATGTGGTATTTTCATCACAAAAGCAAGTGGGCCATGACAT